GTCCCTTCATAAAAATATCAAGAACAAGAAGATATAAAAAGAATACCTTTTCATATATTTCCCATCTTTTCAAAATTTTCAATACTTTCTTCGTATTAATTTAGTTTTAGTTTTATTGACAGTGGTATTAGATCCAAATTTGATCTAACACAAATCATAATTAAGATCAATGTATTCCACTCATCCATTTCATTTCTTTTTTTTTTTTGGGGGGAATATGGTTTTTGGTCTATCAAAATGAGAATTTATTTTTGTGGGATATACCATCTGCAGTGGCACTTCCAAGGATCAATAAAAGGATTCTAAGCTCTTCTTCCTCGTCATATATATGGACTTGAAAGATCAATATTTTCCAAATATCATCGGTGCCAAAAGTGTTATAGCATAGGAAAACTTAAGAGATGAAAAGGTACACAAAACCTAAGTCCTTATTGAGAAGAAACTTGGAAATTTTAAAGATGAAAGATTCTGAGACTACTGCAGAGTACTACTCCATAGTAAATGAAATTGTTCATTAATTAACATCTTATATGGAAGATATTTTAGAAAAGAAAGCAGTACAAAAGATTTTATCACTTCTAAGAGAAATAGTGTTCATTTATCATAATAGGAAAAAATGTCACTTGAAGAAGAACAGCTGATTTAAAAAAGATGTCAAAATCGAAAAAAAATTTAGAAAAATAGAAAAAAAAAGTTATTTGAAATAAAATCATTAAGCCAATTTCTCTAAGGCGAAAGATTCAAAGAATTAACTCTCGTATGTTTGCCAAGCTGCATTAAAAGAAAATAAATATACTTGGTATTTGGACACTGGTTATAGTAAACACTCGACCAAAGATTGAAGTATCTTCTATAGCGTTGATAAAATCAAGTAAAAAATGACATTTAGAAATAGTGATTACATGGAGTAAACAACCAAATGCACTATAGTTTTTTTACACTAAAAAGGACATAAAAAAAGTTTTATTTTTTTTTTTTCAGTTCCCATAATAGATCAAAACCTACTAAATATGGGTCAAATAATGGTTTGTTACCAAACAGAGCACTAAGGATTAAAATTTGTTATCTATTTCTAATAAGTGTCTAGAATATTTTAGGATAGCTAAGAATCCTCAATCTTCTAGTATACTTGAGAACGAAATAAAATGTATGAAAATTTATGGAGAAAAAATAGAAGATTAAATTCTTCATATATTTCTCACCTTTACAAAAATTTTAATCATTTTTCACTCATTTCTAGTTTCTAATTTTACCAAAATACATACTTACCTGGAAGAAACCCCACTCCCTACATGCCGATCCTAACCTAAAAAGCTCATCCTTATCAATGAGCTCCGGATTGAGGAGCTTCATTAGATCGATCACCGGGAGCTCATCCTCATCGATCGAGGCCACCGGATCAACGTCGGCTTCAGGCCTGTAATATCGCTCGGGGATCTGATCATCAGATTGAGCGAGTTCCTGCACATTGGGGACGGGTAAGGATCGACCTAACTCAAGAGGGTTTGTAGACTTTGAGCCCATTTTTGCCTTCTCCCTTCCCTGTAGCTCCCACACTGAAATTTATAGCAACCAAAGCTCAAAAGCTTTTCGATCGAGCTCGCCCTCAGAAGGCATAACTCTCATTTATAAGCAAAGGCTAGAAAATTTCAGGCATTTTACTTCATTAAAACGAGTCAAATGACATAAAGCTAAACCGGCCATCTTATATGCATAATTATTAAGACATTAATCTGACATTCCAATATTAATAATTAATATTAAGCGTTGATTTTGTCAAAAATCATCACGCATTGAAAAACATTCAATAATTGATTAAATAACATGATATTTTAATAATTAAATAATTAAATGTTAAAAAATATTTCCCTAAATAGAAACATCTACATAAAATAAAATAAATAAGTTTACAAAGTAATTAATTAATTTTCAACATCATTTAAAGTTTGAACAATTAAAATTTAATATCATCAAATTTAAAATATATTATGTGATTAACATTTTTATACAGCACAAGAAGAATATTTTCATTGCTTAAATGAAAATATAAAATTATTTGGACCATTAGATATATCAAATGAGCTATTATAGGTGGCTGAATAGATATTTCGTGATCAATAATAATATTTTGATCAACTTAATTCTATTGAGTTAAAATTTGGCCGCTAGAGGATATGAAGGTTTTTTTTGGGACATAAGAAGGGGAAGGCACAAAGGCAACTATGTTTGTAGGAACCACTCGATGGAGGGACCATAGTCAAGCGACAAAGATTGGAGAGACTGTAGTCGGTGAACGACTATGGTCGTAGGGATAGTAGTTGAGACGACTATGGTCATAGGGGCCGTAGTTGGAGGCATCGTAGTCAATGAGCGAATGAGGTTAGAGAAACTATTGTTGGGTGACGGTAGTCCGAGGATTATAGTGGCAAACAGAGGTCGGGGAAACAGTAGTTGTGTGACAAAGGTTCGAGGGATCATAGTCGGGCGGTCGAGGGGACCATAATTGATAGGTGATGGATGCTGGAAAGACCGTTGTCGATGAGCGACAGAGATTTGAAGGACTATAGTTAAGCGGCTGAGGACAAATGGCCTTTTTCAGGCGGCAATGTTCAAAAGGATTGTAGTCGAAAAACAACGGAGGTTGGAATGACTATACAATGTTCGGAAGGATCATAGTCGACAAACAAAGGAGATCTGAATGACCATAGTCAGGGCGACTGACGTTGAATGATCATAGTCGGGCGACACTGATCTGAGGGACCATAGTTGGCAGGCAAAGAAGGTCCGAAAGGACTGCAATTGAGCGACATAGCTTGATTATACTATAATCAGGTGATGAAGGTCCATGAAATTGTAGTTGATGTACGATAGAGGTCCACGAGACTGTAGTAGTTGGGCAACAGATGTCGTGGGGATCGTTGTCAGCGAGAGACGGAGGGTAGTAAGGGCAGTAGTCGGCGGACGATGTAGGTCGGGAGGAGACCAGGTGGCGGCGACGGCTGGACAATGGTTTGATGTTAAGGGTTTGTCGGCAATGGTGCTTGGGTAGAGCTCTAGGATTCTTCAAGTCTTACAACTTTTTTGAGTATTTAACCCAAGGTCCCCTTCATGTACAGAGTGGGGGTCCATTTATAGATTTTGAATTTTTGCTTGCCCTACAACTATAAAGAAGATTAGGAGCAGATTCGGAGTACTCCATCGGAGGGCCCATATTGAATCCCTCAATCATGGAGCATTTTTTTAAGCCTTTATCTGCTTAAATGATGTCAAAATCAAGCGATCTTAGGCTCATTGGATTTTTTTTATTGAGCCACTCGATTCGACAATAAACATGCTATATTTAGATGTCATTTGGTCATCCAATTAATATCTTGAATCATTCTCATATGCTTCAAACCATTGATTTGGACCCATTTGGGTTCTGATTGAGCTGAATTTAGTGTCATGGGGTTCGTCTTGTCCAAACGCTCAATTTGACTTTTAAGCTTACTAAAATTGGAGTTTGGATGATTTTTAATTTAATCTAAAAAAATTCAATTTGAATATGCCTCTAGATTCATGTGTGATCAAAGCAAATTTTTTTTGTGACGTATCAAGTTTTATCGACTGTGGCATTAGAACAAGGTTCTATCTAACACTAGGTGTAATGACGATCAAAACACATCCCACTCAACCATTCCAATTCTTATTTTTTGGAGAGATTATGATTTTTTATGTATCAAAATGAGGATCTATTTTTGTGCTTGAGATTTGTTGGATGTTTTCAATCGGGTGCATACAAACTCTAATTATTGACACTTCCACATTATCCGCAACCAAACAAATGAGGTTAGACAAACCATTGTCGGGTGACGGTAGTCCGAGGACCACAGTCGGCAAAATGATCTTTTCACTTGTTTATTGCTATTATTGTAATTTGCACCTTCCACTTGTTTATTTCTATTATAAACTTTGAATCTAAGGCTTCTTAAAATAAGTTTCTCTTTTAAGGGCGGGCAAAATGATATTTTCACAGTGGATAATTATCCATTTCGAGCTCTTTCTGATTTCACCAATGTACTTAATTGATAGCCTAAACTTCTAACCAATAGATCAAGATGGGCTATAGATGTATTCACTTATCTCTGTTCAATAAAGAAATAAATAAAATTAAAATATTAAAATTTTAATATGATTTTTCATATAATTTAATCATTTTAAAGATTAACATATGACACATAAAATCATATAATAATTAGTTTCATTCTCATATAAAATATATCAAAATATTCAAATAATTTATTATCCTTTTTAATTATTAATCAGAGTTATTGGTTTTTTATAACCTTTAATTACAACTATTATTGCCATTAATCATGCAATTAAATATTTGATTAAGTCACCTTACAAATAATTAGTGCTTAATTAAAGGTGACAATTTAATTTGATATGTATAACAACAACATCACTATCAAGCCTTTATCCTTCTATATGAGATCCCCTACATAAATCCTTTTAAACTTGTCTTTGTTGAAATTTTAGTATGATAAAATGAATAAAAACCTTAGCTTGAAGTAAGCTATTAAAAGAATAGGGGTTTTCTGTAAATTTAAAAAGAATAGGGGTCTTTGTAGCAGTTCAGGAACTCCTTGGGGTGGAAAGCTGTGTTTTGCAACCAGAGTAACTAAGGCTTCGTTTGGGACAACTTTTGATTACTTCTTCTTTGTTACTTTTAAGAATTTTTATACTAAAAAGCTATTGTAAAAATAAATAAGAAAATGATCTCAAACGATGCCTAAGTTACTTTTCTCACAGCAATTTCATAACCAACTTTATAAAATCCTGCAATCATCCCAAACAAATCATTAGCAGATTTAAGCTTCGTTTGGGACAACCTTTTTATTGCTTCTAAAAACAACTTTTTAATACAAATTTTTAGTTTTGGTATTAACAAACTGTTTTAAGAAACAGTAAAAAAGCCGTCCCAAAGGAAACCTTAATTGTAAATTTACACATACCCATATGCTTTAAACCTTGAATTCAAGACTTTATGATTGGAGCAAAAACACCCAAACATTATGCTAAGATAAGCCTCATTATTTTCAAGATTTTTCTTTACACAATTTCCAATGTGTTTTTTTTTTACAATATATTAGAAATAAAAAATGTTTTTCCACATTAATAATACAATTTTAAATACAATATGACAAATTATAATTAAAGAAATATTATCATATGTCAAGATGCTTCAAATTTTCAAGTGATATAATACCATACTATATAGTTTATAATAATTTATATTTCACACCTTAGTAGAAGAAGTTAGTGTGTGTGAGATAGAATCCTTGAAGGGAAAAGCTTGCAATGCCGTCACGCACACAATTTGTACCGTTAGAATTCAAATTGGTCTTTTCTCTCTGTAATTTTTTAAGCTGGCGTCTGAGAGTTATGTACCTGTTAACTTGTTGCCGCTGGACTCTGGTCTCTTTGATGGAAGTTATACTGCTTAGATTTGCATTAAGATTAGTATAATTTTATAATCTTTTTAGATCAGATTTATGTGTAGTGCAATTTTTTATCTCAATTACTCAAAATTTATTTATTTTTTTTAAATTGTGAAATAATTTGATTCATATGAATGTAATATAAAAATTAATTGATTATCATCTTAAAGTAATTTTTGGCCCAAAATGGCCATTTATATCAAGTTTTTGTGAGTTTATAGTAATTTTGAATATCACTTAGAAATTAAAAAGAAAATGGTTGAGAATGTTATAAAAAAAATTTAAACAAAGAAATTCCAAAAAAACGTTATATTTGCTTTGAATTACTGTAATATTTTTAATAATCAATTAAAATTAATATTACATTCATTTAAAAAAAATAATAAGCTCATATATTAATTTTATTAATTGGACATGCAGTTCAATGAATTTTTAACATTTTAGAATACTAAAAATAAAAAAAAGTATATATATATACACCACCACAACAACAACAACATAAGAAACAACAACTACAACAACAACATCAAGCCTGTATCCCACTACGTGGGGTCGGCTACATGAATCCTTTTTCTCCATTGTGTCCTATTAATCAAGTTTTTATCCCATTACATGGGGTCGGCTACATGAATCCTTTTTCTCCATTGTGTTATATTAAAAATCAAATTCTAGCATAAATCTAATGATGAAAGATCGTTTCTAATATTTTCTAATCAAGTTTTCTTTAGGCCTGTCTCTATCTTTATTAACATAAGTCAAATCTAATACCTCTACTTTCCTAATTGAGTCATCGGAAAGCCGCCATTTTATGTGACCAAACTATCTAAGGCGACTCTCTAATCTTATCTTCCACTGGCACTACTCCAACCTTTTCACATATATGCTCATTTCGTGTGTGTGTTATATATTTAATATCTTAGTTTTATTTATTTATTTATTGAACAGAGATATGTGAATACATCTGTAGCCCATCTTGATCTATTGGTTAGGAGTTTAGGCTATCAATTAAGTACATGGGTTAAATCAGAAAGAGCTCGAAATGGATAATTATCCACGGTGAAAAGATCATTTTGCCCGCCCTTAAAAGAGAAACTTATTTTAAGAAGCCTTTGATTCAAAGTTTATAATAGCAATAAACAAGTG